TTTGATAAAAAAAATTTATTTACTAACACATATTTAATAATGTTAAATTTTTTATAATTAATAAAGTGATTAGGTTTAATAGAATAATTTAAAAATTGATATATATAATTTATAGGAATGAACTTTCAATTTAACAATTAGTTTTTAAGAATATATTTTTAGACAAATTTTTTTAAAAAAATTTAAGAGAACAACCTATAAAACATTTTTGTTTTATTTTATTTTTAGGTTTAACCAAATGTTTCTTAATTACAGCATAACCTTAGGCTCCTCATCTCATTATAATTAAATTTTAAATTTAATCTTGTAATATATACACCTTTAAAGACTTAAATAAATTATTAAAAACTCACAAAAATATTTGGGTATTATAATTATGGATAGTGATTAATATATACTTTAATTCAATAAATTACATAATATATTTATTAAAAATTCTTATTTTTAAGTATAAAATTAAAAATAAATAAATTTAAAAATACCATCATATATATAAGATGTAAAAATTAATTAAATTAATTAAATTTATATTATATTTTAATAACAAAATTAAATAAATATTAAACAATATATTAAATTAAATATATACTAATCATTTTTCCACAATTATACAACTAAAAATTAAATAATAATAAAAAGAGGAGTCAAAGTAATCAAAGCATATTAGTAAACAATGGCCACCAAGTCGGGGGGTCCAATTCTTCTGAAGTTCTGCTTTTCGCCTCTCTGTTACAGATCAATATTCAACCACCTATCTCCCTCTCTATTCCATATCAATCAAACCCCGTGGTTGATTGATAAATGTAATAGAGAGGTTCTTGAGGAATATATTCAATGGTTTTTAGGAATAACTCAAGAACTTGGGATGAGGACTAGGGCCATATCACCAGTGGTTTTTTTTACGGGACTACTGGTCAGTTGTGTTTATTTCCACAGTTGTATGTTGAGGAAATTTAAAGTGCTGCATGTCTTGCGTTAGTAATCTACTTGTTAAGATCCCAGGTTTTGTGTTAGTATTGAAAAATAATTAGTAAATATTTGATTTAACACATTTTATATTTATTTTAATTTGATTATTTAAATATAATATAAGTATAATTAATTTAATTAATTTTAATATTTTATATTTATAACTATATTTTTAAATTTATTTATTTTAAATTTTAAATTAAAAATAATAATTTTTTAATAAATATATTATATAATATATTAAATTAAAATATATATTAATCATTATCTATTAATATTTCCTGACTTTTATTTTTTGTTAGGTTTGAAATTATAAATTGAAGGATAAAATACTCATTATACTCCTGATAATGATATTTTGATTCATCTAAAAAGACTAGAGCCTTCCTTGTTCCCTTGTACAATTTCACCTTGATCCAATATCTTACTTTATGCCTGCAAATGTCAGTTTCTCGATGACTCTTTTTTCGACGTTGGTAGGCGTGGAAAACATCGTAGTCCATTTTGATTTGGATGTTGATCTTTCTCAGGTTGTTGATGTTTTGTATTTATTTATATTACATGAATAAATTGTTTTACAGTTGTATTAGTTTAGATCGTAAAATAAAATAAAATTTTTATATTAAAAATTATATTTATATAAATTATATATTATAATTTTTAAATTGATTTAAGTAGATTATTACTTTTTTTAAAGGTTTGTTATGTTTATTGTTTAAAGGTATTGTATCATAATGTACTTATAATCTTGGTATAAATAATAAGAAAAGGTGTTTTATAACTCTTTTTTTTTTAAATATTTTTAAAGAATTTGTTTAAAAATTTATTTTTAATTAATATTTTTAAAAATTAATTGTTAAATTAAAATTTTTATTTATATAAATCACCCATATTAATTTTAAATTGTTTTAGTAGGTCTAACCACTTTATTAATTATTAAAAATTTAACATTTTTAAATATATATTAGTAAATAGAGTTTTTTAATAAAATAAATTTTATGGAAATTTAATTAATTAAGAATTAGGATTCTTAAACATTTTCTTATCTATTAAGCTCCAAAA